TGTCTTATTCCCCCTTTTTCTATCCTGACCTTCTCCCAAACTTGTAAAGACTTTTCTTTCTTTTTTCTCACATACATGCCCCTCCATCCAGAAATAGTATTGGTGGGATACGAAGAAGGGAAGTGTCATGATGAAATGGGGTGAGATGGAATGGAATGAGGAAGCAGGATCAAAGAGTTCTGTGGAGCATAACTTATGTTTAAACAGTGACCAACCAATGAAGAATTCTGAATTAAAGGAAAGGTAACTGTCAATTTAAGGTATTTTAGCACCACTATTTTGGAAACCCTGGTGGCATAGTGATTAAGAGTTTGGCTGGTAATCAAAAGATCGGCAGTTCAAATCTACCAGGTGCTCCTTGGAAACCCTACAGGGCAGTTCTACTCTGTCCTATAGGGTCACTATGAGTCAGAATCGACTGGACGGCAATGGGTTTTTTTTTTTTTTTTTTTTTTTTTTTTTGGTTTATTGTAACATTAGGGGCCCTCATAGTGTAGTGGTTAAATGTTCAGCTGCTAACCAAAAGGTCAGCAGTTCTAATCCACCAGCTGCTCCTCGGACACCTTAGGCGGCAGTTCTTCTCTGTCCTATAGGGTCGCTATGAGTCGGAATTGACTTCACGGCAACAGGTTTGGGTTTTTTTTTTCTTTTTTGACATGGGAGGAGCCCTGGTAGCGCAGTCGTTAAGTGCTTGGCTGCTAACTGAAAGGTCCGTGTTTCAAACCCACCAACCGCTCTGCGGGAGAAAGATGAGGCAGTCTGCTTCCTTAAACATTTACAGCCTTGGAAACCCTATGGGGCAGTTCTACTCTGTCCTGTAGGGTCACTATGAGTCCAAACAGACTATACGGCAACAGGTTTGGTTTTGAGTTTATTATAACATGAGTTAACGGACCTAAGATGTCTGACCTTATGTAATCAGATTAAACGGCTTCTTTTCTTGTCTTTTTATAGAGATGAGGATGGGCCGCCATCTGATATGAGTCTATCAGGCTTCTTGACAATTGTATTTTCTCACTGCAAATCAACAAATTTGCATTTGTTTGTAAATCCATCTCCTTTGTAGTGTCAATTAGTATGAACCTATCTCCCAGGCATTTTATCACCCTTGACTGAACCAAGAAAGCTGTTTCTCACTGGCCCTGAAATCATATCGTGTAGATATCCACGTATGCTGAAATCCAAATAATACTGATGGGAGAGATAAAAATGACTTTAAGTCTTTGTGCTTTATGGAGAGGCACCTGCACTATACATACTATATATTCTAGGAAAATGATTTGTATAATAAACAAATCTGTGGTTGGTTGGACAAGTGACTTTATTACAGAGCAATGGAATATTGTGTTATGTTCAGAACTTAGTGTAAAATATTTTGATTCTTAGTATTTAATCTTAATAATCAACGGATTTAATGGAAATAATAGCTAACGAAAAAAGATACTGTGTTCACAGAAATACTTCTTAAATTCTACTTTTAAATATTTTATTCCTTTCAGAATTCACACTGAGGCTTTATAGACATTGTAGGAGTAGTGACAACTGGAGGGCTAGATCCTACTGACTGATCCTAGATGATGAGTTTGCTGAGACTTAGAGTGAGGCCCTTGACATAAAGGAATAGTGTAAGGAGCAGAAAGTAACTGGCCTTGTTCCCTCCTTATTCAGTCAGTTTTGTTTTGCGTATTATGCTCTTGAAATGGGCTTTAAACAAAACCCTTTCGGATGGTGGTTTGCATTTTCAAGTTGCTTTCTTATTTATCATTTTAGTGCATCTAGAACAGTGGTAACTGCCCATTAATAATCGGAACATGGAATGTACGAGGTATGAATCTAGGAAAATTGGAAGTCGTCAAAAATGAAGTGGAATACATAAAGATTGACATCCTAGGCATTAGTGAGCTGAAATGGATTGGTATGGGCCATTTTGAATTGGACAATCATATGGTCTACTATGCTGGGAATGACATATTGAAGAGCAATGGCATTGCATTCATGGTCAAAAAGAACATTTCAAGATCTATCCTGAAGTACAAAGCTGTCAGTGATAGGATAATAGTCATATGCCTACAAGGAAGACCAGTTAATATGACTACTATTCAAATTTATGCACCAACCACTAATGCCAAAGATGAAGAAATTGAAGATTTTTATCAACTTCTGCAGTCTGAAATTGATCAAACATGCAATCAAGATGCATTGATAATTACTGGTGATTGGAATGCAAAAGTTGGAAACAAAGAAGGATCAGTAGTTGGAAAATATGGCCTTGGTGATAGAAACGATGGTGGAGATTGCAATTTGCTGAAGATAATTAAAAATCTGTTGCAGCAGTACATCAACAAGGAATTGCCAGAAATTCAAGCCAGATTCGGAAGAGGACGTGTTAAGAAAGATATCATTGCTGATGTCAGATGGATCTTGGCTGAAAGTAAAGAATACTGGAAAGATGTTTACCTGTGTTTTATTGATTATGCAAAGGCATTCCACTGTGTGGATCATAACAAATTATGGATAATATTGTGAAGAATGGAAATTCCAAAACATTTAATTGTGCTCATGTGGAATCTGTACGTAGACCCAGAGGCAGCCATTCGAACAGAACAAAGGGATATTCCATGTTTAAAATAGGGAAATTTGTGCATCAAGGTTGTATCTTTTCACCATACTTATTCAAGCTGTATGCTGAGCAAATAATCTGAGAAGCTGGACTATATGAAGAAGAAGCGGCATCAGGATTGGAGGAAGACTCATTAACAGCCTGTGGATATGCAGATGGCACCACCTTGTTTGCTGAAAGTGAAGAGGACTTGAAGAATTTACTGATGAAGATCAAAGACTACAACCTTCAATATAGATTACACCTTAACATAAAGAAAACAAAAATCTTCACAACTGGACCAATAAGCAACATAATGAAAAAAGAGAAAAGATTCAGGTTGTCAAAGATTTCATTTTACTTGGCTCCACAATCAACACCCATAGAAGCAGCAGCAAAAAATGAAATGACACATTGCATTGGGCAAATCTGCTGCAAAAGACCTCTTCAAAGTGTTAAAAAGCAAAGATATCACTTTGAGGATTAAGGTGCACCTGACTTAAGCCATGGTGTTTTCAATCCCTTCATATGCATGTGAAAGCTGGACAATGAATAAGGAAGACCGAAGAAGAATCTATGCCTTTGAATTATAGTGTTGGTGAAGAGTATTGAATATAACATGGACTGCCAGAAGAACAAACAAATCTGTTTTGGAAGATGTACAGCCAGAATTCTCCTTAGAAGCAAAGATGGCAAGACTTCTTCTCATGTACTTTGGACATGTTATCAGGATGGACTAGTCCCTTGAAAAGGACATCATGCTTGGTAAAGTAGAGGGTCAGCAAAAGAGAAGGACCGTGCAGTGTTTTTTTTATGTTGTACATACGGTTGCTATGAGTCTGGGGCGACTCATTGGCACCTAACAACAACTAACCAACTAAACGGAAGTCCCTGGTTGATGCAAACAGTTAAGTATGTGACTACTTGCTGAAAGGCTGATGATTCAATCCCACTCAGAAGCGACTCAGAAGACAGGCCTGGAAATCTGTTTCCAAAATGTCATAGCCTTGAAAACCCTACGGAGGACTTACATGCACACAGGGGGTTGCAATGAGTAGGAATTGACTTGACAGCAGCTAACAACAACAACCAACTAAACATCACATTTCTTGAGTAGTGTTTAACAAACTGGTGGCACAGTGGTTTAAAGCGTTCAACTGCTAACCGAAAGGTCAGCAGTTCTACCCCATCAGCTGCTTTGTGGGAGAAAGGTATGGCTGTCTGCTTCTGTAAAGATTTACAGCCTTGGAATCCTAAGGGCCAGTTCTACTATGTCCTATAGGGTCTCTATGAGTCAGAATCGACTCAACGGCAGTGGGTTTGGTTTTTTGGGCTTTATTTTACAAACTACACAAGCTTACTAGAGGTTCACCTTAGTTACATCTCCTATCTCATTTAGAAGCTCTGGTGGAGCAATGGTTAAGAGCTCAGCTGCTAAGTGAAAGGTTGGCTATTGGAACCCACCAGCTGCTCCATGGGAGAAAAGACCTGGCAATCTGCTCCCATAAAGATTGCAGCTTAGGAAACCCTATGGGGCAGTTCCACTGGGTCATACTGGGTCACTGTGAGTTGGAATCCACTCGACGGCACACAACAACATTGCATTTAATTTTCAAAATTATTTGGAATTATAACCTCCACCCACCAGTTAGTAACATCTGCATTAAATAATGATTCTGTCTCCTTGCCTATTATCGAGGATATTAAGAACACAGTGGTAGGCCAAAGTCAAAACCAAAAACCCATCACAACCACAATACTGAGCCCAGAATAACTAGATGGTACCCAGTTACCACCACTGGCTGCTCTGGCAGGGATCACAATAGAGGGTCCTGGACAGAGAGAGAAAAAACTGTAGAACAAAATTCAAATTTACAAAAAAAAAAAAGACCAGGCTTGCTGGTCTGACAGAGACTGGAGAAATCCCGAGAGTATGGCCCCCAGACACCATTTTAACTCAGTGCTGTAGATACTCTTGAGGTTCACCCTTCAGGCAAAGATTAGACAGGTCTATAGAGCCAACAATAACATACTAAGGGATGTGCTTCATAGTTCAATCATGTATATGAGACTAATGGGCACACCAGCCCGAAAGCAAAGACGAGAAGGCAGGAAGGGACAGGAAAACTGGATGAATGGAAACAGGGAAACTGAGGTGGAGAAGGGGAGAGTACTGACACATCACAGGGTTGGCAACCAATGTCACAAAACAATTTGTGTATTAACTGTTTAATGAGAAACAAATTTGCTCTGTAAACTCTCACCTAAATCACAATTAAAAAACAAAACAAAAGCCAAAAACCCATTGCCATCGAGTCGTTTCCAAGGAGTAGCTGTTGGACTCAAACTGCTGACCTTTTGGTTATCAGCCAAGCTTTTAACCACTACACTATCCCACCAGGGCTTCAGGCCAAAGTCAACCCTGTGAAATATGGCTACATCGCTCTCAGACCAACACTGATCAGGTATCATCCCCAAGCACGCTCCTGCCACCAATACAATGCCAGACTGTAACACCTATTGAGGACTTACCTTGCCCCAAGCCCTGGGCTAAGCTTGCCAAGAACACAAAGGTGAGTAAGACACGCTCCTTGCTCTAAGGAGCTTCAGTTAAGAAGAGCTAAGGCAAGTACATAAATAGCCATAATAGAGGCTTAGAAAAATAATTTTCAGTAAATTAATATAGTATAGTATTAGGCAGAAAACAATAAATTCTATAGTTAGACCATATTTTCCTTTTTTATTATGGAGTATGTTTTGTAAAATTTTAAATCATGCTGCAGAGCTCTTATCTTTACATAGGCAGCTTAATTCTTTCTTAATACTTGTGAGTCTCTTTACTGATATATTTCTAGATATAATCATGGGTTACTTTCAATTCACACTAGTCACTAAGAGCAGATACCTGAGGATCTTCTTGCCAGAGTTTCAATAATTTATTTCGTCCTGATAAGAATGTAATTTTGTTACTGTTTTCTGTAATACTCAGGTAAATAAGTTACAGTTTGCTTCCCACTCAAAGAGGTAAGGATATCAGATGACTGGATGGTCTTCTGTTTCCCTGTTGGATTCTTCTTTAGTGGAATCATGTGCCTTTGTTCCAAGACCTTCTTTCAACACTGCATAAAACTTCCCTTATCTGAGAACCTTCAGCTGTATGTCCAGCTTTTGTCATAATTGGCCCTGGAGACCTCACCTGCACTCAAACCTAATTTTTTTTTGTAAACCCTGTCTGTTGGAACATTTATATACGAACTATACATTGTTTCATTCCCACCTAGCCAGAAAAAAAAAATGTCTGAGATAAAATGAGCACCTACTTGAAACACTTTAACCAATCACCCCTACATATCTATTTATAAATCCTCACTTCCATTGCTGCCACTCCCTGCAGATTTTTCTAGCTTGGCTGTGGACCACATTTTCCTCCCTAGAAAACACTACTAGACATTCCTTCTTTGGTAGGCAGAAATCTAAGCTTGCCCCCAGGATTTTTACATGCTAGTGTACAAACCTTACATAATCGCCACCCCTTTAATGTGGGTGGGACCTATGAATATGAGAGGATTCACTCCGTGATTAGGTTACTAATCAGTTGACTTTCAGTTAATCAAAAAGGAGATTATCTTGGGGGTGGGGCTAACCTAATTAGTTAAGCCCTTTAAAAGTCTAGATGTCAGAGAAACAAGTCAGAAAGATTTGAAGAGACAGATATTTCTCCTGATGGCCTGGGAAAAAGCAAACAGCCATGCTATAAGAGGAGTGGGTCATGTGGCAAGGACCTGAGGGCAGCCTCTAGGAGCCAAAAGTAGTCCCTGGCCGACAGGCAGCAAGAAAACGGGACTTCAGTCACAACCACAAGGAACTAAATTCTGCTAATAACCAATGATCTTGGAAGAGGATCCCGAGCCTCAGATGCTATCACAGTCCTGGCTGACACCTTGAGCAGAGGACCCAACGAACTCATACCTAGACACCAGACTCATAGAAACTGAAGAAATAAGTGGGTGTTGTTTTAAGTTTGTGGTAATTTGTTATGCAGCAATAGAAAATTAATACATGTTCTTTCATCCTTTTTCTGTTTTTATTGATGATGACTGCCTAATGGAGGCCAAAAAAATCTGATTAAAAGTTTTAACACAATACTGTATACTCAGTATTCTATTGAAATGTTTTTCCAAGGCTACCACCAATTGCCTCTTCATGAACATCATTCTCTTTGATCCTTTGGAAACATTTGAAACTAATGCTCACATCCTTTCTTAAAACTACTCTTTTGGCTTCCATAATACTACAAAATTTTGTTTTGTTTTCTTTCTATCTCTCTTTGATACTCTTTTGATCTTTCCTTTATTATTTTCATTTTACAGATAAGAAAACAATATCATAGAAGTTAACTAACTTATCCAGGGTCACACAGCTAGTAAGTGGAGAAACCATGATTCAAACTCAGACCTATCCTGGCTCAGAGGCTATTGTGTTTTTGCCACTATATCCACATTGACATTGCTTCAGTAGAAAAAATTAAGCTGAGTTTTTCTCCTTTCTTGAAGGAGGAGTGGTTTAGTATACTAAAAATAAGTGCTCACGTAACGGGGACTTTGCTATAAATAAGAGATGATATAGAATAAAACTAAAAATAATCTCAAAGTGAAATTCAGAGATGATGGATCCATAAGGGAAGGTAAAATTGTTTGACTTCATCTTTCACCAAGTCTTCCCATACTCAAACAAGGTAGTTCTCAAGTTCTTCTCTATAACCATACAATGAGTGGTATCTGTTTGGTACTACCTCAGTCTACATAGATCTTGCAGATTGAAAATTCAACATAGCTAGCAAGAAATACAAGCAAGGGAAGAAAAAGGACAATTACAAATAGTTAGATAGATGGTCAGTAAATAAGACAAGAAACAAAATGTGTCTTTCCCATTGCAGTGTATTGCAGAATGTAGAATAAGTCCTCTGCTACTTACGTGTGTCTCATTCCTATTTAAAAACCTAAACTAAGATTTTCTATTTGGACATTTTTTTCAGATTCTAAAAAATAACTAAGATTTATAACCTTAGTGTGGAATTTTTCGGGGAGATTAAATAACTATAGTCCTTTTGCCCTCTCATAATGTGAAATGAAGAGATTTTCTTCTACCTGCTCAACACCATTGCCCAAATCTACCTTTCAAAAGGTATATTTTTTAAACCAAAAAACTAACCTTAAAATAAACTATGATCTCCTTCCTCTCATTTTGAATTTTTCCATTATATTTCTACAGTTTGGAAAGCAAAGTAGGCTCAGTGTAAATTTTCACTCTCCCCTAATGTGGACAATTTTGGTCCTCCAGGTCCTTAATAATGCAAATAAATGAGTCCTTTTCCCTCAAACAAAAGACTAGTGATTTGTTTTACTTCAGCAAAGTGCTATCAGTAATATAAAGTCCCCAAATTTAGATTAATACAGCTGCTCTTATATTTTGAAAATTTTTCTCACAGTCTTCTGGGAACCCCATTCAGAATTAAGGTCATCTCCTAAGATAATTTTTAGAATCCAGAAGCATGAAAGCAAACAAATTCCCACCCCTTATCCTGCTGGTGAAAGTTGTCCCTGGCATCTCCCCTAATAAGGGTTGTTGGATACCTCAGGTACACTTGACTTCCTCCCAGGACATTATTTATAAGGAAATTTTTTAAAGCTTGTGATTTTTTTTAGTTTATATAAATAATAATGTGAAAATAGTGTTTCATTGCTCAAAAGATGGTTCAGGTGGGGCAGGGCTGGACAATGGTGGTGGATGGAGGGGAAGTGGGAATGATGGCTACTTGTAAATGATGAGAAGGTGACATAAAAAGAAGTTGAACTTTAGTACGTACTTCAAGGTATGGTCTCAGGACAAAATAGCACATCTGAAAAACAAGAATATTGGCTGACTTTGGTGAGTCATTATACTACACTCAAGGGAGATGTCTGCCAAAATAATCAGAATTTTAAGCTAACATGTTAGGGCAACTGTGTTCCTGAACCAAGTTTTCCTAAGAGTCACTATTCCATTACTTTAAGCTTTCTACCTTCTACAGCATATCTTAAATAATTGCACATCAAAAAGTGGCCACACGCTGTTCCAAGGTTCTCTTTCTGAGAGCCCTAAGCTATCCTTAATAGTGGATTTCTCCTTTCTCCAGATAGTAAGACTTCTTTGGCCTCTGTCAGTCTTACTTTTCTCTATGGGACAGAAGATTGAATAGGAGGCTAGGGTCAGATTGTGGAGTGGGCTGCCTGAAATATAAAATTGAGACTTGATTACAGTCATTTGTAGGTTATTGAGTAAAAGACAGGGTGAAACCAAGGGCTATGGATGACTAGTCTTGCAGTGGTGTGCAAGATAATTTTGATGAGAAAAAGCCCCAAAGTTAAGGGGACATGAAAGACTACTCCAGGAATTATACACATTTCAGCATGGCTGAAACAAGATGCGTGTGAACAGCAGAAGGCTATTGTAAGTCATATATGTTTAAGACAATGAGAGTCAGAACTGAATAAGCAGCAGGAGAAATGAAGAGGAATAGAGAGAAGAAAGAATAGTCAAAACTTGGTACCAGATTGGATAAAGTTTAGCTGGAACCGGGGCAAAATTGGAAATGAGTCAGATCCCTCCTCCCTTCACTCCCAGCTTCCTGTATCTGTGCTGTTTTCTCCATCTGTAATTTTAACTTCAGCATCTTCAGGTCTTAAATATCCAATGTCTTCTTGCTCTTTTCCTTTTTCTCCCATCAGCTTTAACAAAACCCTCCCAGACTTCTTCCAACTAACTGAGATGACAGGGTCTGATAAATTTGGAGCTTGACTCTCCTAAATACAATATCACTTTAACAGGAATCAAAGTCTCTTAGAAGCTCTGCCAAATAGATTTCAGGCATCAGCTAAGATACAGATGACTGAATCATTGGTCCTGGATACCTGAAGCCATGTGATCAAGTAGAAATAGGTACTTTATATAAGGGATGATAAAGAAGGAACTATCAAAGATGAAGAGTTTTTTTCTCTTAGAAGACCTGAAGAATAGTGATCCTACTGTCAAAAGCAGAGATGTTGTAACTTGTAAAACAAAAAGGATTGGGAAAAGAACCTGTGAGCCCTGGCAAGTGGGACAACTTATAAAAAATTAGCACTTAATTTAGAAACTACTGTCCAGTCTAAGACTATCGTGCTGCTTAGAAGGCCTAACCATCCCTGTATACTGAGCACGGTTGATACATTCAAAAAGGAATGAAGTGAATCTTTCCTTCAGATGTTCATTTGGAACAAATGTAGCTCAGGGAACACCTAATAGTCCTAAACCAAGCTCTCAAACAACTTATGTCCGTGTTCCTCTTCAGTAAAGCCATAAATCTCTTATCCTGCTTAGCTCTTTTTTTTCCAGGACCAAGATGAAAACTAAACCAAGCAAAAAACAAAACAAAATGGAAACAAAAAGCACATACCCTCATCTTTATAAATTTACAGAATGTCAGACTGGAAGAAAATTTAGAGAGCATATAATCCAACTCTGTTATATTACAGATAAGTGAAGAGATCTCGGAGATTGGAAGTAATGTTCCCAAAATCTTACAATCAATCATCCACCAGAATCAGAGGTACAATCTAGAGCTTAGGCCTACCAGTTCCATGAATTTTCCACCAGGCCCACTTCCTTTCTCCATGAAAGGATTCTCTCTGATTTTGATATCAATGAAATGACAATTCAAATCAATCAATATTTAAAGGCACTGTACTATGCATAGCAGGTGACACATACATGTTATTGTCCTTTCAGTCTAGTGATACTGGTTTGGGAAGGATGGAGAAATGAAAACTGAATGACCGCAGATATGACTATGACACAAAGCAATAAACGAAAATTATCAAGAAAGGGCAAACAAAATATTGTAGGAGTTCAAAGAAGAGAAATATTAAATTGGGTTGAGAAGATCAGGAATGGCTTTTTGTTTGACTAGGCACAAAAAAGAGGCACTATTACTATCTTCATTTAGTAGAAGACACCAGCTTGGGGACTACCTAGGGATACCTGGGGATCACCAGGTCTAACTGGATCTCACTTGGAAAGTACATATATAATCAGATTGCAGCAATAATAAAGTTGATGGTATATGAATTGGAAACTAATATGCTTATAATATCTCTGGGCTCTCTTATTTACCTCATTCACTGGAGATTGGCCATGTTCAATAGAGGCTGAGGGCTGATGGAAAGAGAGTATCCTCTAGTTTATAAGAATAGGGTCTCCATGAATGTTTATTGACCTGAACTGAATTGAACTTAAGATAAACCAAGTAAAAAAATCTGTGTAACCTCTTATTTAAACAAGTGAAATCAGAAGTCATACATCCAGACTTTCACTTAATCACCTCTCCTTCACCCACTCAATCACCCAGATAAGAATGGTAGAGTCTTTTGGCAGAAGTGTCTTGTCAGAGACAAGAATCCTCAAAGAATCTGAAAAGGAAAGAGGGGCAAGGAGTGAAAGTATCAAGTTCCTGCTATGTGCAAAGCTCAGAATTTTTTAAAGAAGCTATAGAAGACCCCTCAGAATCCCAAACTTGAGAAAACATTACACTGTTGCCCAGACAATGCGATGTTCACTCATTTGTGCATATTACCAAAAACCAAACCAATTGCCATCAAGTTGACTGCAAGTCATGGTGAGCCTATGTGTGTCAGAGTAGAACTGTCTTCCATAAGGTTTTCAATGGCTGATTGCCAGGCCTTTCTTCTGAGGCACCTCTAGGTGGATGCAAACGTCCAAACGTTTGATTAGCAGTCAAGTGTGTTAACCATTTGCACCACTGAAGGACTCCTGTGCGTGTAAAGATTTGGCTAAATTGTAATTGCACAGCCACCATGGAAATGGATAATTAGTACATTAGTATCCTAGTACGTCTCATAGATGGGTCTTAGAAATTCATAAACTTTCTTTCTTGTTTCATGCTATGACAAGCTCCCTGATCTTCTAAACAAAAAAACTGTGACAGAACCAAAGTTAATTTTATCCATAGGTAAGATGAATGGAATCATATAATTTCAGAACCAGAAAGGATTTTTAACACTCAACATTCACTTAGTGCACCTTTATTAATGTACAGAGACCTAGGACAAGTTTTAAAAAAAAAGTTTACTGCCTGAGTAACAAGATATAAAAGTCAAATCTGCTTGACTAATTCTCCACCTGCAACACACATTTCACCCAAACTGCTAGTGTGAGGTTACCTATGCTAGCTTCTTACCTAGAAAAGGGGTGAAAATTCAGACAGGTGGGAGAAATTGGAGACCTGAAAAATTATTACCTGAGTACAGGGTGGATTCAAAGAGCAATACTGTAGCTGAAGCTTCAAGTTCCTACTTTCAAAACTTGACTATGTTTTATATTCTTGCACATCTTTTATTTTCCTTTTGATTTCTAATATTTTTTCTCAGTAGAGTTCCTTTGGAAAGTTCCAGGCTGTTCCTACTTGCTAAAAATAAACTAGAAGAGAGTTTTTATTTTGCTGGCACTTGGACCACAGAAAATGGAAAAGTTGCCAGCCTCTGGTGATCTTGCAAACAGGGATGAAACTTGCCACAGAGCAACAAAAATTTAGAGGAAAATTGTCCAAGCTTCTAATGTTTAAAGAAAGCCTTTCTCTGCTCATTCCTTGGAGATTTTTTTATACTTTGTTATATTCTCTGATATAGTTTAATTGAAGGTACATACACTCATGAAAAGTTAACTATAAAAGCAACATAACAGTTAATATCTGAAGATACATAATATATGCCAAATTAGTGATATAAATAATAAATGTTGTTATGAGTTTATAAGGAGAAGAGTCTAAGATCCTTTAAGCCATCCTTCACTTCAAGGAAAACTGTCCTTAAGCCATCCCAGACAGATATACTTGACATTTTAATGTTGTAATTCCCTAGCAAACTAGATTCTTGAATGTGAACTTCCAAATTATTTCCTCCTTGACTGTTTAGAAGAGAAAATCAGGGAAATATCATGATTTCATAGAGAGAGGAGAGGTTTATAATACTGTGTTCATCTTTAGGTACAGAAATTACGTGCACACAGCAGCAAATATCTGTGTTCAGAGCTGGTCTGTACTTCAAGTTTTCCCCCTGGGGATATAAAACTGGATGGAGGGAAAAGAAAGAGGCATGCAATTCAGTGTCATTAAAGCTTTCAACTCCCATCTTATACCCTGGATCTGTGTTTAAGACTGTTAAGCTCCCATGACCTTTCTGGACTGCTCCTAAACTCTTTAACTTCCTTTTTAATCTTATGAATTCAGCTTGGACTTCCTCTGATATTGTACCATAAGAAGACTGACCACTAACCAGGGACATTTGTGAAGGTGATTGCAATTCCATCAAGAGGTATGGCTCCATTTTCAAAATGAACCTTGCCTTTTCAACTTACTAATTATCTTAACAGAGTAACTTCCTTTATCATTTATACTAAAACAAAATTAGTTCCATTTATGTTTGTACTTGCTTATGTTAATGAATTAATGACCCTTTTGTTTTGTGCTAAAAATGTCTCTTATCATATTGTATTGAACCAATTCACTTTTTTGTGCCATCGCTGCTTTCTACCACCAGATTATGAGATGTTTGAATGCAGAGATGGGGGTTAGGAATCTCTATATCCACATAGTGTGGGTCACATTGTGGGAGAATCTCATTAAATTCTATACAAATTAAATTAAATGCTGTTTAAGATAAGTAAAGCTAATGAGTGGCTTGGACAGAATGATCTGTACGTCTCTAAACCAAAAAAACCTGTTGCCTTCGAGTGAATTCCAACTCACAGCAACCCTATAGGACAGCATAAAACTGCCCCATAGGGTTTCCAAAGAGCAACTGGTGGATTCAAACTGCCTACCTTTCTGGTTAGCAGCTTTAGCTTGTTGTAGCTCTTAACCACTGCACCACCAGGGTTAGGATTCATTAATTGCTTGAAAGTTTTACAGGCTTCTTTTTATGGTCTAATATAAGTGATTGCCTTGACTTATAGCTGTAAATAAACAATTGAACCTAAATAGCAAAATTTCTAGAAAAGCTTGTTTTGTTCAGTAAGGGTTGGGAAGTGTATTAGTAAGACTAAAGATCATATGTCTCTTTACATGTTTTCATTATTTATCACTTTTATTTGGCATCTTTCATTCAAAGAACTGGAAATTTCAAAATTATTTATAATATTTAAGAGACTTAAATAAAATAAATGATTAGTCTGTCAATGGTATAGTTGTGCTTTAACCTTATGATTAGCCTTATGATTTATTACCGTCCTTAATACTTGAGGAAGCAATTTACTTACAGAATAACTTCAGGCTCTGAGGCTGTAAAGGTTTTAAATTATATTAGAATTAGAACATAACTGTAAAGATTTAAATGATAATACCTTCAAATGATAAACTTGTTTCATCATTCATATACTCATTCACTAAATTAACACTTATTGAGTAATTATGGGCAAGGTACATATGTGCTAGGTCTTGTGTGGGATGGCTTTTTATATGTAAACAAGAGGACTGGCATTGCAGTCATCCTCAAAAACAACATTTCAAGATCTATCTTTAGTACAATGATGTTAGTGACAAGGATAATATCCATAAGCCTACAAGGAAGACTCATTAACAACCTGTGATATGCACATGACACAACCTTGCTTGCTGAAAGTGAAGAGGACTTGAAGCACCTACTGATGAAGATCAAAGACCACAGCCTTCAGTATGGATTATACCACAACATAAAGAAAATAAAAATCCCCACAACTGGGCCAATAAGCAACATCACGATAAATGGAGAAAATATTGAAGTTGTAAAGGATTTCATTTTACTTGGATCCACAATCAATGCCCATGGAAGCAACAGTCAAGAAATCCAATGACACATTGTATTGGGTAAATCTGCTGCAAAAGACCTCTTTAAAGTGTTAAAAAGCAAAGATGTCACTTTAAGGACTCAAGTGCACCTGACCCAAGCCATGGTGTTTTCAATCACCTCATACGCACATGAAAGCTGGACAATGAATAAGGAAGACCGAAGAAGAATTGATGCCTTCGAATTATGATTTTGGCGAAGAGTATTGAATACACCATGGACTGCCAGAAGAACGAACAAATCTGTCTTGAAAGAAGTACAGCCAGAATGCTTGTTAGAAGCAAGGATGGCAAGATTTCGTCTAAAATACTTTGGACATGTTTTCAGGAGGGACCGGTGCCTGGAGAAGGACATCAGGCTTAGTAGAGTAGAGGGTCAACGAAAGAGAGGAAGACTCTCTACGAGATGGATTAACACAGCAGCTGCAACAATAAGTTCAAGCATAAAAACAATTGTGAGGACAGCGCATGACCACCAGTGTTTTGTTCTGTTGTACATAGGGTCACTATGAGTTGGAACTGACTTGATGGCACCTAACAACAACAAGAAAGATCAGTTAATATAACTATTATTCAAATTTACTCACCAGCCACTAATGCCAAAGATTAAGAAATTGAAGATTTTTAACAACTTCTGCAGTCTGAAATTGATCAAATATACAATCAAGATGTATTGATAATTACTGGTGATTGGAATGTGAAAGCTGGAAACAAAGCAGAAGGATCAGTAGTTGGAAAATATGGCCTTGGTGATACAAATGACGTGAGATCACATGAGAGAATTTTGCAAGACCAACGACTAATTCATTGTAGACACCTTTTTTCAACAACATAAATTGGAACTATACACATGAACCTCACCAGATGGAATACACAGGAGTCAAATCGACTACATCTGTGGAAAGAGATGATGGAAAAGTTCAATATCATCAGTCAGAACAAGGCCGGGGAAAACTGCGGAACAGACCATCAATTGCTCATATGCAAGTTCAAGTTGAAGCTGAAGAAAATTAAAACAAGTCCACGAGAGTCAAAGTATGACCTTGAGTATATCCCACCAGAATTTAGAGACCATCTCAAGAATAGATGTGATGCATTGAACATTAATGACCAAAGACCAGATAGGTTGTGGGATGACATCAAGGACATCATAACTAAGGAAAGCAAAAGGTCATTAAAAAGACAGGAAAGAAAGAAAAGACCAAAATGGATGCTAGAAGAGACTCTGAAACTTGCTGTTGAACATAGATCAGCAAAAGTGAATGCAGGAAATGAAGTAAAAGAGCTGAACAGATTTCAGATGGTGACTCAAGAAGGCAAAGTAAGGTATTATATAGAAATGTGCAAAGACCTGGAGGTACAAAACCAAAAGGAAAGAACACTCTATGGGTTTCTCAAGCTGAAAGAACTGAAGAAAAAATTCAAGCCTTGAGTTGCAATATTGAGGAATTATATGGGCAAAATATTGAATGACTTAGGAAGCATCAAAAGAGGTCGGAAGGAATACACAGAGTCACTGCACCAAAAAGAATTTGTTTATATTCAACCATTTCAGGAGGTAGCATATGATCAAGAACCCATGGTAGTGAAGGAAGAAGTCCAAGTTGCATTGAAGGCATTGGCGAAAACAAGGCTCCAGGAATTGATGGAATAACAATTGGGATGTTTCAACAAACAGATGCAGTACTGGAGGTGCTCACTTTTCTATGCCAAGAAATTTGGAAGACAGCTACCTGGCCAAGAGGCTGGAAGAGATCCATATCTGTGCCCATTCCAAAGAAAGGTGATCCAACAGAATGCGGAAATTATCGAGCAATATCATTAATATCACACGCAAGTAAAACTTTGCTGAAGATAATTCAAAAATTGTTGCAGCAGTACATCAACAGGGAACTGCCATAAATTCAAGCCAGATTCAGAAGAGGACATGGAACCAGGGATATCATTGCTGATGTCAGATGGACCTTGGCTGAAAGCAGAGACTATCAGAAAGATGTTTACCTGTGGTGTTTTTGTTTTTTTTTTTTTACTATGCAAAAGCATTCAGCTGTGTGGATCATAACAAATTATGGATAACATTGTGAAAAACGGAAATTCCGAAACACTTAACTATGCTCACGTGGAACCTGTACATAGACCAAGAGGCAGTTGTTCAAACAGAACAGGGGGATATTGCATGATTTAAAATCAGGAAAGTTGTGTGTCAGGGTTGTATCCTTTCACCATACTTATTCAATCTGTATGCTGAGCAAATAAGGCAAGAAGCTGGACTATATGAAGAAGAAGGGGGCATCAGGGTTGGAGGAAGACTCATTAACAACCTTCGATATGCAGATGACACAATCTTGTTTGCTGAAAGTGAAGAGGACTTGAAGCACTTACTGATGAAGTTCAAAGACTACATCCTTCAATATGGATTGCACCTCAACATAAAGAAAACGAAAATCTTCACAACTGGACCAATAAGCAACATCATGACCAATGGAGAAAAGATTGAAGTTGTTAAAGATTTCATTTTACTTGGATCCACACTCAACGCCCATGTCAAGAAATCAAATGACATATTGCATTGGTCAAATCTGCTACGAAAGACCTTTCTAAAGTGTTAAAAGAGCAAAGATGTCACTTTGAGGACTAAGGCATGCCTGACTCAAGCCATGGTTTCAATCACCTCATATGCATGCAAAAGCTGGACAATGAATAAAGAAGAAAGAAGAAGAATTAATGCCTTTTAATTATGGTTTTGGTGAAGAATATTGACTATACTATGGACCTCCAGAAGAACAAACAAATCTGTCTTGGAAGAAGTACAGTCAGAATGCTCATTAGAAGGAAGGATGGTAAGACTTGGACTTACTTTGGACACATTATCAGGAGTGACCAGTCCCTGGAGAAGGACATCATGCTTGGTAAAGTAGAGGGTCAGTGAAAGAAAGAAAGATCCTCAATGAGATGGACTGACACAGTGGCTGCGATGATGAGCTTAAGCATAGCAATGATTGTGAGGATGGCATTGGACCAGGCAGTGTTTCATTCTGTCGGACATAAGGTTGCTATGTGTTGGAGGTGACTGGAGGGCACCTAACAACAACAGCAAGAGACAGTCTGATAGGAAAGATAACATTTGTATAAAAATCATTGATACAAGATAGATTTAAAGTGCCCTAGAAGTCCAACAAGTAGCACTGCTGGCGCAACAGTTAAGTGCTGGGCTGCTAAACAAAATGTTGGTGGTTCGAACTCACCCAGCTACTCCACAAGAGAAAGACCCCAAGATCTGCTTCCAAAAGATTGCTGCCAAGAAAACTTTATGGTGGCAGTTCTGCTTTGTTACATGGATTTGCTATGAGTCGGAATTGACTCAACAGCGCCCACCAACAACAACAGAAGTTCAACAAAGAAATTACCTTGGAAGAGGCTGAGGGAAGGCTTGGTCAAGAAGATGTAATTTGAGCCAAGGGATTATTAAATTTTACATAAGCATAGATGGAGGAAAGGACACTTCCAGAAGAAGAAATACCATGGAAAAAGACAAAAAAGGAGACAGGCAGATGGGAAAACATGCAGTACATGTCCCTGGACGAGCAAAATAGTTGTTTTATTAAACTATAGGACGTGCAAAGGGCAGAAGTGAGAGAAAATCTGGAAAAGGTAAGATGCAGCCAGATTGTAGAGAGCCTTAAATATCAGGTCAAGAGGTCTGGATTTTATTCTGAAGGCAATGGGGAACGATTGAAGGTTTTAGAGCAATGGCATGATATAATTGAAAGCTGTAATATGAAAAATTATTCTGGAAAGAGTTTGTAGCAGGATGGATGCAGAAATGATGATAGTAGGAAGGAATGATAAGAATTATTAAATCTTTTTCAAATGTGATTCTTCAAAGGCTGTGTCAGAAATCTCAACAGCACCATCTAGTGCCTCACAACATACTATTGTCCAGTTTGGAGAAAACACCTAATACAGGACAGACAAAAAAGAATGGATCAACTATAGGCATTTTCCCTTTTTACCACAATTGCACTTCAGTTCAGAGAACCAATAATGGAAGAGGCAGATAACTGGGAAGCACACTGAGAAATAATGCAGAGGTTGGGAATAGTGTTTCCTGTTGTGTTTTAAAAGTATGCATAGTGACACTATGAAATGAAATATTAGGAATTCCTGTAATTTATGGTCTGGTAAAAATTAACAAGTTTTTTTTTTTTTATATATTATAGGCACTGCACCAAGCAGACATTCTTAGGGAAACATGGATGATGTCATAAATATGACAGTGTCTTCTGCTAGTAATAACACTTGTGGTGACACTATTGATGACTTCCGCAATCAAGTATATTCCACGTTGTATTCTGTGATCTCCATTGTGGGCTTCTTTGGCAATGGTTTTGTGCTCTATGTTCTCATAAAAACATATCATGAGAAGTCAGCCTTCCAAGTATACATGATTAATTTAGCAGTGGCAGATCTACTGTGTGTGTGTACACTGCCTCTCCGCGTGGCCTATTATGTTCATAAAGGCATTTGGCTCTTTGGTGACTTTTTGTGCCGCTTCAGCACTTATGCCTTGTATGTCAACCTCTACTGTAGCATCTTCTTTATGACAGCCATGAGCTTTTTCCGGTGTGTTGCAATTGTTTTCCCTGTCCAGAACATTAATTTGGTTACACAGAAAAAAGCCAGATTTGTGTGTGTTGGCATTTGGATTTTTGTGATTTTGACCAGTTCTCCATTTTTAATGAGGAGATCTTACAAAGATGAGAAAAACAATACCAAGTGCTTTGAGCCTCCACAAGACAGTCAGGCTAAAAATTATGTTTTGATCTTACATTATGTGTCATTGTTTTTCGGCTTCATCATCCCTTTTGTTATTATAATGGTCTGTTACACAATGATCATTTTAACCTTACTGAAAAATTCAATGAAAAAAAATCTGTCAAGTCGTAAAAAAGCTGTAGGAATGATCATAGTCGTGACAGCTGCCTTTTTGATCAGCTTCATGCCATATCATATTCAACGCACCATCCACATTCATTTTTTACACAATGAAACTCAACCCTGTGATTCTGTCCTTAGAATGCAGAAGTCAGTGGTCATAACCTTGTCTCTGGCTGCATTAAATTGTTGCTTTGACCCTCTCCTATATTTCTTTTCAGGGGGGAACTTTAGAAGAAGGTTGTCTACATTTAGAAAACATTCTTTATCCAGCATGACTTATGTACCCAAGAAGAAGTCCTCCATGCCAGAAAAAGGAGAAGAAATATGTATAGTTTAAACCCATTTCCAGTGTAAACCAATGAGAATTCCCCCCAAACAAGTATTTTCTCAAACTATTTACAATGAAAATAAGAATGTTTATTAATAATTTACAAATACATAACTGAAGATGTGCACCTATAAATCTATTTCATTTATGCATCCACATTATTAGAAGTCATAAAGATATTTTAAGTGTTAAAAATTCATTCTACAACTATGAACTGAATTCGACATGGAATAAATGGTGGGTTTTTTGTTGCTATTGTTGTTCGTTTTGTTTTATTTTTTTACCATTCACCAATAGGTGGAGAATGTTTCTGTCTCTGCACTGTAAAAAATGGGTCTGAGATCAAGGTTTTCTCCCTCAAATAAAAGCTTTACAAGGTATAAGAACTAGACTTTTAAAATCTAAAATTAGCAAATAGTTCTCAATTATCCCAATGTGTCCCTTTGTATGCATGCCATCAGATGAGAATTGAAGATGCCCTAGGAGCTACATAAAATATACTGTCATCTTTTTCCTTTGTAGTACTGACTGGCTAGGCTAAGAAGGGCCATTTCTTTCAGAAGAGAATGTGCAAGTGTTATACTAATATTCAGCCAAACAGCCTTAAAGGATCTGTGCAATGTACAATCTGGAATCTGAGGAAGATAAACCTGGTTAAAGGCCAGTTTGCCAATTTTCTACTTCACCTATCTCAGGCCCCCAAAAGACAGTGGTGGAGTTTTTTGTTGATCATTGAGGTTCCCATAAAGAATTCTCCCTCTTGTACAACATACAATCCTTCCTTAAGAAGCCAGACAACTGGCACTCCCCTATATGAACAGAAGCAATTAAAAAAGTATCTGGAGAATAGGAAAATGAGTTTACTTTTCTACATGTCTATTACTAGGATCGAAATTAACTACAATGGATTTCTGAAGAAAAATTTAAATGTCCATGTTCCAAACTGTTTTAAGAAGTGCATATGTTTATGTCTATGTGTATAGCTATGTGTATGAGATTTTTCCTATGATATGCATTTATTGGTGAAAGTTCATTATAAGCTTCATTAAAGTTTTATACTTTTAAATTTTTATTGGCATGTTGATAGAAATATCAAGGATGATTACAGTGGTTTTTATATTATAGTAGAATCTTTGTTCTTGAAACAGCAACAACTTGGTTATGACTGAAATATAATACTCATGGGCAAGCTTTTGCTGAAGTGTTGTCTGTTCCTTAATTCTGTGTTTCAAAAGACACATTAGCTCAGAGAAAATAAATGATAATGGTGAAGAAAAAGGAAACCTGTGAAAGAAGTTCTATCTGAGTCTGCCACATGTATGTTATTTCTATTTCACTTCTGCTGTTGCAGTCTCTTGGGAAAAAATCACAAGACATAAAGAGAAAGGCCCTCTGAGGCACAGTAATAACTAGTGAACATTTATTTTGATTTAAGAAACTTGAGACTTGGAAGTATCTATTCTTGGACCTTATACCATCTTTCCCTTGCTCAAGACAAAGATCAAACATAATATTTATCATAAAAGTCAGTTCTCATTTGTTAAGCTTTCTGCTACCCAAATCCACTGCCATCGAGTGAATTCCAACTCATGGCGACCCTATAAAACAGAACAGAACTGCCCCATAGGGTTTTCAAGGCTGTAATCTTTACGGAAGCAGACTGCCACATCGTTCTTCTGTGGAGCGGCTGCTGGATTCGAACCGCCAACCTTTCTGTTAGCAGTCGAGTGCTTAACCACTGCACCACCAGGGCTCCCTAGTGAGCAGTACACTGTGGTAGAAGAGCGCGACATTGGAAGACAGAAGACCAGGATATTAATCTGGTCTCTATTACTTAGGAGGGAGGATGGTGAGACTGTCTCATGCACTTTGGACATGTTATCAGGAGGGACCAGTCCTTGGAGACAGACATCATGCTCGGTAAAGTAGAGGGTCAGCGAAAGAGAGGAAGACCCTCAACGAGACAGATTGACACAGTGGTTGCAACGACGGGCTCAAACAAAGCAACGATTATGAAGATGGCACAGGACTGAGCATTGTTTTGTTCTGCTGTACATAGGGCCATTATAAGTCGGAACCAACTCAAGGGCACCTAACAACAACAATTACTTACTAGTGGTGTGACCTTAAGCAAGTCATATAAACTCTCTGACCCTCAGCTTCCTCGTTTGTAAAATGGGAACACTAATATGTGTCTTTCCTTTCCTATGGGACATTTTTGATGGTTAAATAAGATCATGTATGTTAAAGTTTTACCTTAAATTTATACTGTGTGATAAAATTTTTAAATATTTGGGGATGGTTTTGTTACTTAAATATACTGATTCATATTTACTACAGAAATTCTCAATTTTGAAGGAATTAGAAAACAACAAAAATAGGCCCGTAGTTAAATTTTATTGCACACAAAAGAATCTTGTTGCTTACTCATTCCCACCACCAGATTTTTTCCTATGTTTTAGTCTGGGTTCTCTAGAGGAGCAAACCAGTGAAATATACATATGTATGTGTATATATATATGTATATATTTACTTCAAGGAAATGGCTCACACAGCTGTAGGGGCTGGCAAAGTCTGAAATCCATGGGTCCAGCAGCAGGCTTACAGGGTTGCAGGGGCTGGCAAATCCAAAATCTGCAGGTCAGGTGGCAGGCAGGAGACTTCTGCACTCTCACATCCCAAGAACCAGAGGTCAAGCGATAAGAAGAGTGCAGGGTCGAGGGGAGCGAGCTTTGCCAGAACATCTTTTTATATACTGGAGGCAGGCAACATCCCCAAAGGAACACCCATTTCACCTGATTGGCTGCTCACATCAGATCACCAAATGGAAGGTGATTACATTATGGAAGAGCACCTAGTCCAGTGGTCTACCAAACCACTGAGAATCATAGCCTAACTAAGTTGACACATAACGTAAACCATCACAGCCTATGTTCTCCATTATACTCACAGTTCCACTCCTTCCCACACAGAAATATACCATTAATATCCCTCAATACAGAGAGAATGCCCTTCAATAAAGCCAGCTTTTACTAAGAAATCTGCATGCTGAAGAAATCTCCAAAAGATATTTAAATTTGTTTTTCCCATCTTTGCTTAAATACACCGTGTCATCCAAGATACCAATGATTTGTTTCCATGATAGACGCTGTGATGTCACAAGTCACATCATGATGTCATCTCAGGATCCCTTAGGCGCCTGACCAGGAAAGACAGTCTCTTGTTTTGAATACAGATATTCCTGCTAATGAGGAACACTGGCAGGGAGAAGAAGAAGGCCACTCCAAAAAAGATAAATGCGGCAGATGGAGGGCCAAATTCTGCATGGAGATCTTGAATATAACACAGGAGATTCAGCCAAAATTTGTCTCTGAGTTTTTCAGTAATGGTCACTTGTAAGTCACTATGAATTTGCTCTTCTTTAATGTCTTATGTATTTATAGGCTATACCACACTGTTTAATACTTATTCTTTTTGTCAAATTGTTCCATATGTGTTGGTATTCTCCAAAAGAGGATTATCAATTTTTTGAGGTTGGAAATTATGTCTAAAATGGTAATATCTAACATTTAATGAGTGCCATGCACTGTTTTAAGTGCTTTACCTGTATTAATTTATATTATACTCACAACTGCCCTGTGAAGTAGGTACCATTATTATCCCTAATGGGCATCTTTTGTCTGGAGATGAGATGAGAAGGCAGAGAGGGTCAGAAGCTGGTTGAATGGGCACAGGAAATCAGGGGTGGAAAGGAAGAGTGTGCTGTCACAGTATAGGGAGAACAATTAGGGTCACATAACAATGTATGTATAAATTTTTGTATGAGAGACTAACGTGAATTGTAAACTTTCACTTAAAGTACAACAAAAAAAATTTTAAAATCCATAGAAAAAATGTTAACAATGAAAAAAACAATAAAATAAAAAAATAAAGATTATCTCAGGGCAAAAGTATCAGAGGTTCCTCCAGCCTCTATAGCTCCATAAAATCTGAATTTCATGAGAATTTGAAATTCTTTTCTCCGTTTTCCCCCTTTTGATCAGGATTCTTCTATAGAATCTTTGATCAAAATGTTCAGTAATGGTAACCAGGCACCATCCAGTTCTGCTCTCATGGCAAAGGAAGTAGTTGTTCATAGAGACAATTAGTCAGTTTTGGTTTACAGAGATGGAAAAATCACATTGATTAAGGTTAGGGGTGCACAGCCGATTATTGTAAGTGCTGTCAATAAGTTGTACACCTGAAAACAGTTGAATTGGCAAAAATTGTGTGATAAACATATTTACAATGACAAAAAAAGAGTAGCTGCTGATGCTGCTTATGTACAACCAAACACATGGGATTTGGTTCCTTGGTTTCGAGGCTTAGGTCACGGTTTCATGCGACATCCCAGTTAACTGGCCTAATAACGTGTTTAATGCTTCTACTTCACTGCATAGTGCCTGGGGTCTTAAAAGCTTACAAGTGGTCATCAAAGCACAACAATTGGTCTCTATTCGCCTGGAATAACAGAGGAAGAAGGAGAGTCAGGAATAGGAGGAGGAAATGGAATGTGTGACATCTCATTTTTAACATCTGCAAAAGCATTAATTTCCATCAATAATAAAAATGTATGTAATTAAATTTGGTTGCAAAGCAGAAAACTACAAAACACTTTTATTTAAAACACTTATTCAGAGGCGAGGCCAAGATGATGGAATAGTCAGATGCTTCATGTCATCCCTCTTACAAGAAAGACTCCAAATAACAAGTGAGTCAGATATATATGACAATCTAGGAACCCTAAGCATCAAAGACAAAGCTGAGAAATTGGACTGAGTGACAGGTGGAAGGAGAGACAATTCAAAAACAGTGGAAATGGGGAATCACGGATCACCAGGTCACTGGCATCCTGCTAGCTAAATCTGCACAGCACACACTTATGGAGGAAAGTAGCAACATCCTAAGCCAAAACTCATCCAATCTGGTGCAACTAAGCAGCAGTGAATCTGCACGCACCTCCAAAACAAAACAGGAGCAACACCAGATCTTCAAAAGTTAAGTGCAAGCTCCCAACCCACTGAGCGCACAGCATACTGCTTCCCCCACCAGAGCTCCAAGGCCTGGGAACACTCCTTTCTCCCCATCCATCCTCCTTCTCGCTCTGACACCAGTCCTGTGGCATTCAACACCACCATACCCCCTAAGCTGGGAACTTACAGCCCTGTCAGGAGGTGCCTGCCTCTTCGTCCAGACACTGGTGTAGGGGTTCCACGGATTTGCAGTGCCCTTCACCCTCGCTGATGATCCACATCAGTGCCTTGCTGGCCGACTTGGCACGGCATGCCCTCATTAGGACAAAATGGGCAGGGCTTCCCAGTTAAAGCCCATTTTCACCAGCAGCAGCCAAGTGGGAGCTGCAGATTTGGGGAATTCGACACTCTCTTGCCCCCTAAGAAGGGCCCTCAACCACCTACTCCAGGGGCCTGAGGGCTGGCAATACCACCCACTCCATCTAGCCACCCATGACAGGGGCCTGAGAATCACTGGCACTCCCCAATCCCTCCAGCCAATGGTACTGGGACCAAAGGACCAACCGCACTACCCCCCCTCCCAACTAAGCACTCTAGTGGACAGGGGCATGTCCTCCATCTGGCACCCAAGAGCAGCCAATAGCCCCTGTCTTACCCTCCACATCACCCCCATTGCAATCAGAGACCTGTGCCTGCTTCAAACACCCCCGCTGTGCAACTCTGCCTGCCCAGGACTGACAGTGAGAGTCTCTGCACCACACATCCTGCACCTCAACCAACCAGTACGTGGCAGAGCACACACACAACACCCAACCCAATGACCAGGGAGAACACCCCCTGCACCTATGGCCAGGTGACCAGCAGGAGGATAACTTTTCGAAGAATGGGAATTCCAGAGCACTTAACTGTAATCATGAGGAACCTGTACATAGACCAACAGGCAGTCATCCAAACAGAACAAGGGGATACTGCATGGTTTAAAATTAGGAAAGGTGTGCGTCAGGGTTGTATCTTTGATCGTACTTATTCAATCTGTATGCTGAGCAAATAAGCTGAGAAGCTGGACAATATGAAGAGGAACATGGCATCAGGATTGAAGGAAGACTCAGTAACAACCTGCAATATGCAGATGACAAAACCTTGCTTGCTGAAACTGAAGAGGATTTGAAGCATGTACTCATGAATATCACAGACCATAGCCTTCAGTATGGACTACACCTCAATGAAAAGAAAACAAAAATCTTCACAACTGCACCAATAAGAAATCTCATGATAAATGGAGAGAATATTGAGGTTGCCAAGGATTTCATTTTACTTGGATCAACAATCAATGCCCATGGAAGCAGCAGTCAAGAAACCAAATGACATATTGCATTGGGCAAATCTGCTGCAAAAGACCTCTTTAAAGTGTTAAAAAGCAAAGATATCACTTTGAGGACTAAGGTATGTCTGACCCAAGCCATAGTATTTTCAATTGCCTCACATGCATGTGAAATCTAAACAATGAATAATGAATACTGAAGAATTGATGTATTTGAATTATGGTGTTGGCAAATAATATTGACTATACATACCATGGACTGCCAGAAGAACAAACACATCTGTATTGGAAGTCCAGTCA